AATATTTTGCGCACCACAAAGGTACAGTCAAACACGATCAGTAGTATGATTTTCACACTTTTTCAGTGTTAAACAGATTTAATTATACATTTCTCTTCTTCTCGTTCTATTACTTTCCTTCAGAGTGACGCCATTACACAGCAGTTGGCAGCTATTTTTAGTCACTGTTTTGGCCCAGCACCCCTCCCAGCCATCCCTGAGATGAAGGCAACTCTTTCAGCACAGTTGGGTAAGGAAACTATGATCCTTTAGAGTATATGGATATACATGCTCAGAGTTCCAAGAGGATAGGATTTCAGTATTGGCTAGTGATAATTAGTCATTTTGACATCTAAAACACCAGTAAATCCTTAAATACAGTTTTCTTAAGCCTAAAGTCACCGTCAACAGATTCCTTATACAGTGATACAAACCCTAAAACAACACAAATGTAACACTTGGGCTGTAAATTAATTTTTTTTCATGAATATTAGTTAGTAAAAGAGTGTCTGATATTTTTGTTTTGGTAATCTTATCAGCAGTAATGTGTACAGAATGACTCTGCTGTTACTAGAACGTTATGGGTTTTATGCATGTGCTGATGTTTTTCTACAGACCCACACTTTCTGAATAACCAAGACATGTCAGATGTGACATTTGTGGTTGAGGGAAAACCATTCTACGCACACAGAGTGCTTCTGGTTACTGCCTCTGACCGGTGAGTGCAGAAAGGTACAAGAGTGCATTTTAAGGCTTTTGATAAGACCTTACTTAAAGGGTTTTATTTTGCTCTAGATTCAAGTCTTTGCTGGCATCATATGGATCAGATGGAAGCTCCGATAAGGAGATTGAGATCAGCGATGTCAAGTACAACATATTTCAGGTAAGAAACACATTCCCTATTTAGATGTGTTGCATATGACAAAACAGACATTATTTAGATCAAATTGCTCATAAAGAAACCTCTAACCTCTGTACAGATGATGATGTCATACCTGTATTGTGGAGGAACTGAGTCACTGAAAAAGAAGGTGTCTGACTTACTAGAGGTAAGAATTGTTAATCGCATTAATCTGTCTCAGGGTTGGTATCTTAGAAATCCCAGCTTTAGTTCTACATCTTCACATGAATTACTCATTCTTGCTGACAGTGGAGATTGTTCTTTTAATTTGAGTTTAGCTACAAGCTTGACATAGACAAGTTTGTGTTCATAGCAACAATTGAGCTCAATCGTCCCGTCTGGCCAATCCTTTCTAAGCATGAAGCTGTTACTTTGATGTTGAAATATAGTACCCTTATCACAAGTACACAAGCTGGGCTTTCAAATATGTCCTGTGTTTTTGTGCATTTATCAATTTAAAAATCGTTCTCTCTTCATTTTTTCATTAGTTTTTATCGACAATTCGTAGCTTCTTGAACTGAAAACAAAGGAAAATTCCAAATACATGTTACACAAAGTTAAATATTGCTTGTATGCAAACAGAATGAAAGGATGCATGATATTATTTTTCCTCCATTAAAATGTTCATGTTTTCTCCTGCAGCTGTTGTCAGCTGCTAGTTTGTTCCAGTTGGGGGCGCTACAGAGACATTGTGAACTCATCTGCTCTCAACATATCAGCCTAGATAATGCAGTCAGCATCTACAAAACTGCTAAGGTAACAATTACTGATAGACTTGGATTGCACTACTGTGAGTGCAGTACATATGTTTACATCAGTGCTATTTCAGGCATGAAAATATGACGTTGATATAAAAGTTGTTTTGATCATTTAGGTTTACATAAATTAGGTTTATAAAATTTGGTCATTTCACTGTCCTTTCTTCTGTCAGGTTAATGGTTCGGTGGAGCTGAGCTCGTTGTGTGAAGGTTACTTCTTGCAGCAGATGCCTGCCCTGCTGGAAAGAGAGAGTTTTAGGAGCTTGCTGTTGGGACCCCCGGGGGCCCGACAAGGAAACAACTCCACTTCTACGCTGACGCACAGCCGGGGTGACTCACTTGTGGAGGAGCTGGAGACCACCCTGGCTCAACGACTTCGCTCTCTCTACGTCACTTCCCGTGTCTGAAGACAACATGGCAGATGCTGTTGAGAGAGGACAGAAATAAGTGGATAAATGTGGCAATTAAGAAGTCTCACCTTTTCACTGATACAGAATCAGATCTGAAGTGTTTCAAATACAGAAGTTTTCTTGGTAAAATCTGATTTGTGTGTGTTAAGGAGCAATATTTTGACACGGGCACAGATTGGTGAGATGCCTGGCAGTGATTTACTCTGTGGGCAACTCGGCATTTCATACTTTGTGCCAAGCATTCCATGAAAATGTTTTTTGTGACGTACAGCGTTCCGAAGAAGAAAATATGATGCCTTTTCTCCAGGGCTCACGAGGCTTTACTGGACAAGCAACAAGTTGAAAGTCTGAATAATAAGACAATGCTGCCCTCTAATGGACAAAGCTTGCAACATAAATAATTGCCCTGGAGGATTGGGATCAGTGGCAGCCTCACAGTTTTGACTGAAGCAATGTAAAGTGATTACAGACTGAAGCCTTTATTGAAGAATTGAGTGAGGTGGCCTTTTGATGCTGGACTTTAAACTTTCTGTTCTATAGTATTGCATAGTGGGAGCAAGGCTGCAGCCTTAAACTCCCTGCATCAATGTAAGCTTTGGATTAACAAATCTACTTTTTTAATGTAAAAGCTTTTATTTTCTGTTTGTTTTGTTTTTTTTAAGTACGATGAGAGTAATGAAAATTTCAGAAGAGTGGGATGGACATTTTCTATTTAATGAGAAAAAGATGTGAGAGTATTTAACGGGGTGTCCCCTTTTTTATTTTTATTTTAATCAAAGCAGATTATTAGTATGGAAAAAATGCTTCTGCTGTTTTACCAGGTACGCTCTAACAGTTTATTAAGCTTGTGTATGCTGAGGTTTAATGCTTCGACACAGGTACAGCTGCGGAGGCTAACATGGGATTTGGACGACAAGAGTCTGTTTTTGTGCTGGATACATTATTAAACCTGGTAAACAAATCATTTCATGTGTGAATTGTTTTGGACTCACCTGGAATCGGGGAAAACGGCAGATTTACAAATGAGGAAGCCTACAAAATGGAAATAATTACATATGAAATACAATCTTACCACAAATCCATGGCATGTGACATAATGAGGGGGGAAAAAAATCTACTGCATCGATCTTAACTTTGTTTATGAAACCTTTTTCCTCTCTGGTCTACACTTACCCTTGCTTGCACAGGTAGAAATAAGGATAACAAACACACCATAACTGAATGAGTTTATTTGTTTCAGCACTGAAGATGCTCACAGTTATGTTTTATGGGGATTACAGTCAGTTTTGCTCCTGCTCTGTCAAAAGACCCATGTAGGCCTCTGAATCATTGGATATCCTTAGTGCTGCTAGCTTCCCATTGTAGAAAACAGAAAGGAGGGCGCATATCAGGGTATTGCTTTGTGTTTGTAGTACTGGTATCCCCTCCCTGTGCCTCTACTACTAACGGGTAGAGAGAGCCCAGACCTCAGAGCCTTCCAGAGAGAGGTACAGAGTTGAGGAAGCATCCTTCAAAAACTTTGTGCACAAGATAAGGAGGAGGAGGAGGACGAAGGGAAAGATCAGCAGGGCCAAGGGAACAATTTAAAAGAAAAAAAAAAAGCCAGAAATAAAAGCAGAAAAGGTGGGAAAGTAAGGGACAGACAGAAGGGGAATTTAAATTTTAAAAGGTAGTTTTGTGGAAAGAGAAGTGATGAAGGCTGAGAGAAGGAGTGAGTTTGGCATGGAACATTAACACTAAAGCCATGCAAAGAAAAGCTCATGTTTTGACATGCACACAGCAATACAAGCTAAAAGCACAGAGCAGGAATCCCCAGCATTGTTGAGAAAACAATCAACCCCCACGGTTTGTCTGTCTATTTACAAAGAGAAGAAGCAGATCAGGATCTGTGGTGTTCTTCTCCTCCAGCCTGGCCTACACGCACAATAATATGAAACTGACAAATATCAATAGAAGAGCATATTCCCTCTCCAAAAAGAGGCTAAGTCTACATTCTTAAATTACTGGTAAATCATTTTTTTCCAAGAGTTCCCACAAGTTCTCTTTCCCTCTGCAGAGAGAGCATGGAAAAGAGAATTTATGACTTGTCAAAGTTCACATAATTCAGTTAAAGTCAGACCAAAGCAAAGGAAATAAAAGTTCTTTTTTTTTCTTAAATGTCCCATTTACGAACACACAAGAGGGTAATAAATAACATTCAACTGACCTAACAGCTTTGTTCATATAAATAGCCAAGATATAATAAATTAGGAAATCAAACAGTGAGATGAACAAACATGAATAAATAAGGACAACAATACAAAAATATCCACAGTTGCATTTATCACGTCATTTTTTCGTTTGTTTCTCTACTCCTACTGCTGGTAAGTGAGACTAGAGAGAGGTATAAATGAAAACCAAAGAAGAAATGCTGCAGATAATAGGAAACAGGAGTGTTTGGATCATTATTGGGTCAATCAAACAAAGACGTACATGATCATGTAACAAAAATACACAGAATTTAAAATGACAGTAAGTGGCAGGCTCAGGTTTACCAACCTGTTCCTATGGTATCTAAACAGTGTCACAACTAGACATTTCTTTTTTTTTTCTTCTTTTTTTACATAAGAAATGATATCAGTCTGTACAACAGAATAGATCATTCATTTTAAATACCCGAATATCCACCCACTTCCCTCCCCCCACCCTATACTATCATTTAATATCTCCCGCTGCCCTGTTCTTCTCGCACCCAACTCCTCTCTGAAAACACAATTCCAGTCTGTTTTGCAGCAATAGTATTAAGTCTAATAAAGTCAGTTAGTATTTCAAACCCAGTTCTTCACAAAGAAAGTACATTATAATAAAAAGCAAACAAATACAATCCAGCAAGCATCCGTGTCGGCTGTTTGGGCTTTCCACAAAACTCCTCTCCCTTCTCTCCTCCTCGTGTTTTTTGCTTTTTTTTTTTTTTTTTTTAAAATGTTGTCCATCATTGTTGATACATCCCAGAGTTTTTGTGCATATTGGATCTGTGCGTGTATGTTTTGTGTATGTGGCGTCTGTAGTGTTTTTGAATAATGCTCGTTTTCCAATTAGCAAATGCTCCTTGAGGTCAGAGAACGGTGATAGCTGGTGAGGGGAGCGAGTGGTCTTGTTTTTATTGGGATGTGTGTGCTTGTGTGTTTCTAAGAACAAGAACACTACAGGATTTTTTTTTTTGTCTACTTCTACTGATGGCTGCCAGGGGTGGAGTCGGGGTGCAGAGGAAGATGAAGGTAGAAGTCTGCATGAAGGGTCTGTTTCCATGGTAACCCCTCCCCCAGCACACCGCTATAAGAAGAGTCCTCCGTCAACAATTGTCCGTCTCTCTTGGCACGCTGGAGGGGTGTGGAGGGGTGGTCGAGGGAGGGCGAATGGAGCAGGGAGCAGGAGGATGGACTTTAATAGGTTTTCTGGATAATTCCTGGTATCAGAAACAAGTCAGGTCATCACACAGGTTAGCAGCAGCATGGGAGCAAACAACTGAGGCCCACAGGTGATTAGATGGTTAGGGTACAGGAGTGGTAATGATGGTGGACACTGAGGGGTAATGGAAAGGGGAGTGGAATGGCAAGGGTGTGTGTCTGTTGTGTTGGTGCAACATGTTGTTTGCAAAATATCACTTTGATTCTTTTAATATATTTCTATCTATATAAAGTCATTTTATAGAAAAGATGTCCATAAATGATTTATATATATATCTAGCTATGTACAGATAGCATATTCTCTCTGTGTCTCTGGCTTAAAGTGATACTGGGATGGCTACAAAGCGCCACGGTCTAAGATTCCTCTGGTGTCCCCACAGATGCCACCGACAAGTGGGCTCTGTCTCGGCCTGCAGCGGGGAATTTGGTGTCATTATTTTCTGGGTCATGCCTCCGGACGTGCATGGGTGAGGGGCAGTGCTTGGAGGGCGTGCCAGGGGGGTAGGGCACCTGTCCATTCTTCTCGTCTGAAAAAAGTTGTTTAATTACGTCAAAGAAGTTACTCAATGGGCTGCCTAGGTACACAGATGGGAAGAAAAGAGGACAAAAAAGGGGGGAAAGAGAGAAGACAGAAGAAACAAACTAATGAACAATGGGGTTCACAGGATAGAGAGATGGCTACATGTAAGGCAGAGCGAGCGAGCAGAGGTGAGGAGGTGGTAGACCCACGTACACTGTGCAAGGATGAGAACTGCCGAAGCAGCCGTGTTTAGACCACATAATGCATTAGCCCCGGCAAATCATGCATACGTTTCAGAGCAATCCACGGAAAAAAACACAAGTGCCCATTAAGTCGATATAGTGACCAGTGCGTCTGAATGAGTTTGGCTGGCCAGAAGCAGGACAGACAAGATGATAGAAGCAAAAAATGAGAAAGCGTGGAAATTCAAGAAAACGCTTCCTGTCAAAGAAGCATTACTGCTCCCCCTGAAACATAAAAAGTCTTGGAAACCTGTCCTCCAGCATCAAACGTCTGACACATCCTCAATGTAGGTGTGTCAGACGTTTGGTTTGACATACTAATCATGAGTCGTGTTTTTGCCAGCTAGAAGCTGGCAAGCTTTTTATTTTTCCTTCAACCTCAAGGAAACAGCATCACTTTTAGACTACTGTAATTCCCTCTACAGGGACCACATCCAAAAAAAACATCTCTGATTGTTTAAACTTAGCTGTCAGATTTCTAACAGATTCAGAGAAGTTACTTCCATCCATGCTACACCACACTAGCCACCTGTTATACACAGAATTGGCCTTAAACTTAAATTTCATTCATTTTATTTTTAAATACTTATACAACCTCAGTCCCATCTCCATTACAGACGTACACACACCTTATGAACCTGCCCACTCCTCATGACAGAGCCTCCCGAATTACATAGAGTTCTGTATCCATTTCCTCCTTACCAGAGGAAATTAGATTTGGAAGTGTCTACTTTTAAATCACTCCTCAAATTTTACTTCATTGTGAACTATTTATGCTGTATTCTCTAATACACAATTTTACTGTGTTTTGATATCATAACCATAGCACTGAAGGGCAACATAGACTTCTCATTAGTGAGGCTGTCTACCTTGTGGTAATTGTTCATAGTGACGTACATAACACAGTAAGAGACTTGAATGGACCTCAGAAAGAGGAAACACGTGCAGTGTGTGTACGTATGGACAACAGTACGCATGCATATAAGCATTAAGTACACCAAACATAAGAAATGAAAAAAAAAAAGAAAAAAAAAGAGGTGATGGTCTGCATAAGCGTGACTGATCAGTCAAAAACAAGACTGTTTCTGACTTCTTTGCAGTCCAAGCAAACAGTTATAGCATCAGTAAAAAAAGAAAAAACAGACTGAGGAGCTACACGGACAATAAAGCGCACAAACATGCTGTGTCTACACATCAGCAAAATGTAGATTATAAAATAGAATTTCTTGAGGTAAAACATTCTGTTATCAGTCTGTATGTACTTCCAGTATGATGACTGTCTGCAGTATTGTGTAAATTAGAAAATTTGTCATATACGGATTAATGAGCAATTGCATGCAAGTGCACATGTGAGAAGGCCAGTAGTAGTTTCTACTGATCCATTATCCTGCAGGAATGTGGCTGTAGCTAACTTCTTCCCCATGTTTATACTTCTAATTCCACATTAGTCAATTAACTCTTTCCCAATCCGGATTGGGAATCCGTGTTTTGAAAAGACTACAACAGACCACATAATATTTCCTTTTCTCAAAAGCATCTTTATCTGAATGAATATACCTACATTTTACTTCCTGCATTCCTCCATACTTTAACTCTTCATAAGTACAGGTCTCAGAAATGCTGTCATCACTAGTGATTAGGGGAATTAATGACCAGGTTTTGACAAAGCCCTTTGACACAATGTTATGCAAATCAATTTCTATTCTTAATTACAGTCACTGACTTTTATTTTTAAATCCCTTTTGTTCAGGTACTACTAGAGGTGTGTAAGTGGGTCAAAGTAAATAGAGAGGAGGAGAATAGGATTGTTTTCATGCTGATTGCTTCTCAGCGTGATGCCGTAAAGACATTAATTCATTCAACTAGCCTTTGTCAAAAATAACTTACTTTGACTTTTAATACTAACTGTATCATCTCGGACAACACAAACTAAAAGTAGTGTACTTTTCAGTATCTATCCATCTATTGCTTTAAGCGGTTCTCATATTATACTCCAACAATGTCATCTCTCCTACAGAGACAGCCCACTACGTCAAAACCCCCACCACCATTAAAACCTAATCTAATGTAACTTATTGTAATTTTACCCTTCCCACACCTCAGCCTGGTAATGAGCTGCACGATATAAAAAGATCAAAAATAATTGGTAAACTTACTGAGGCACAGCAATGATAACAGACTGTTAAATATCATAACAGCTGTCATGACTGCTGTTCATTTCTGAGTGCCAATGAGAGTAATTTTGCGTAAAAGACACAGGGCAAAGACACAGCTCACACTTAAAAAACTGTAGTGGGACATGCTACCAAGACCTGGCATGGAACTGGAAATGAGTTTAAGAGGACAGAGAAAGACGCAGACACGGTTCACAACTGGTAACGTTTCCTCCTGATGTTGTTTACTTGTCTGGCCAGCAGATGGAGCTCTTGGATGGCAAGTGAGATGCACACAGCTCACAATGCTTCAAAAGAGTCAACATGTTAAGAGCAGAAAGGGGTGAGTCGGAGCCCTATGACTCTTCATCATCCAGACTTCACTTTTATGCAACAGTATCGAGCCACAATGGCACAAAAAACGTGCTTACATCTGCTGAAACTGTCACCTCTGAAACTACTGAAAAGATGAGAGAAGAAAGAGAGACTAATATCATCAAGTTCACGTGTGAATGGCTGGGTGATGATGATTGTTGACCTCAGATGTGTTTGTACCTTGCTTTTAGCGGTGGACTGGTGAACATACAGAGAGTGAAAGCGCACGGGATGCCTATAGAGCGCACTTATCAGGTGTGGTGTCGCTATTTGGCGCAGTGCAATGTGGGAGTGCGTTAAGGGGCAGAGGTGTTGCCATGGTGACAGGCTCCAGTGATCAGTCTTGAAAGTAGGAGTAACAGAATGCGAATCGGCTTACCCTACCTCTACTCTAATCTTCACTGCCAGTGGGCAGAGAGACAACATTTGACCCGAAGTCGGTGCTTGAGAGCAGCTCCCACCCTTTCATAGCAGTGAGGCACGGGCATGCAAAGGAAGCCGATTGGAGAAGCAGAGAGTGGCTTGAGGATTTCAAGCATACTGAGAAGACGGGTTGGATTTAGCTTAGCTATAGCGGCGAGTGTAGCTCATCAAGGGGCGGGATGGGCAGATGAGGCGGTAGGGGAATGGGTGGAGAGGTTTTGGTAAAGGTTTGGAATTTCTTTTTTTTTTAAATATTTTTTTGAAAAGGAATTCTTACTCACCGGAAAGCTGTTGGACCCCAGGCTGATCGTGTGTGCTTAACAACTGGCTCTGAATCGTCTCCACTACTCGTTTAAAGCGTCGGCTGGGTCCTTCACAGAGACATAGATAAACACATGAATGCTGACATAGTAGACCTTTCATGGAAAACACTTACAGTTGTCTTGGTAGGTAAAGCAAAAGTAGCATAAATGATGTCTCTATTCCATTAAGCGTGTGAGCAAACCATGACAGTAAACCAGAATGCACGAAAGCGGCACTTCTACGAGTTCACTGCTGCTATCAATAGATCTATTCTCTTCTGTGACAAGTCATGGGGTGCTTTTCACTATGCTAACTTTTGCTTCCTTGCCTCCAACTCTCCTCCAGTGACTTGAAAATCATCGCCCCTTACATGCACCACAATGAGACAAGAAACAAGGAAGTTTATGGAAAGGATTAATATTCATTTTTGGTGTGATATATAGACAAACACATCAAATGCAACTGATGATAAGAATGTGCCCATACTTGCATGTGTCTTGTGCATACCTACTGAGAAGACCTACAACACGTGATGGAGGGAGGGGGCATGTTATTATACTGAAAAACCCCTAAAAAGTCTGTTCAGGGATACAGAGTATCAGCAGCATGAAGGCACACAGCAGAACTTGTACAAATATATTGCTATAACCAAATAGATTTAAAGGTACTGGTTTTTGAAGGCAAAGCAAACAGGGATATGGACGTGGTGCAAAATGTGAGGTGCAAAATGTGAGGTGGAAAACTGCAGAAAGCCTGAGATTATAAATGGGGGCCAGAGATGAGTGCTGCTGAGAGCTCCTGCTGTCTACCTGTTGTGTACAGTATACGGTCAGTGACATGAAGAACTGGCTTCTATTACAGCCCATTCAGCTCAGTTGTGCCCCCATTTATGTGAAACAGAAAGAGGAGAGTAAAAGAGAGCATGCAGGTGTTTGTGCAGAACTAAGCATTAACACACGTTTCAGTGTGGGATTGTGCATAGTTTGACTTCAGTTTGCTAAGTCTTATCAAGAATTCAGGATTTTAAAAAAATTAGGTTTTTCATTAAGTTTAACACACCAACATGCTTTCGGGGAAAAAAAAGACTTCAGGCTTGTTTGTTTGTTGAATATACATGACTCCATTAGTTTAAAGTGTGACATTCAAAGTGTTTCACTTGTCATTTGTGAGCTTGAATTTAAGGCTAATGAGATGGAGAGCCAGCTGCTCAAATGCCATAATAATACATGCATGTCTGTCCTCTGTGATCGGTTGAGATCCTTGGTTTGAACTTGACCCTTTCTTTCTTTCTTTCTTGGATTCCAGCTTCAAGTACAGAAGGAAGACTTAGTGTATTGAATTTTTAGAGAACTACTTCCACCTCTGTCAGTGCACCCCAGGGTGGCTGTGGCTACAATGTAGCTTGCCATCACACCAGTGTGTGAATGTGTGTGTGAATGGGTGGATGACAGGTTGTGTAAAGCGCTTTGGGGTCCTTAGGGACTAGAAAAGCGCTATACAAATACAGGCCATTTACCATTTAATTCCTCCCTTGTATGCAACACAGTGTCTTTCAATACTGTTACAACACCTTCTCCATTGATTTTCAGTTCCACTGTTACACCGTTTGCATCTACTCGAATCTCAAACAGTGAAGACACATGTAGGTCAAACTTCAAGTGCCCACAGATGATGTAAACTGAGACAAGTGTTAGTTCACACAAGCCACAAGCCGGTATCCGACTTAATCAGCGTCATATCTGTTGTCACGGATGCTTTTCCACGTATCCTCACAGAAGTGTGGATACCAGAGCCGTACCACCAAATATACCACTGGTGAACATTCTGCTTTTGATTCTAAAGGCCATGACTGTAATTTCCTGAACAGGGACAGCCTTTCTAAAAAATAAAAAAAAAAAGGGTAGAAGCAGGTGAAAATGTTGAGATGTTTTTATGATTGCTGAAGTATCCTAACCTGAGAGCAGGGTGAAGGTTACAGAGTAGATGCCATTCTCCTTAGTGGCAGCTGTGCTCTCTGTGTAGGTGATATCCACCTGAAATTTCACCGGCTTCTGGAAGACTGTGGGGCCGGCTGTTGACTTGTACTCTGCTCGAAAAGAGGTCTGAGAGATGACACTGTGGCTCAGGCTGGGAATCTGTGGGGGCAAAAAAGGAATCGTGAAAAGAAAATGTCAGAAAGAGGAAAAAAAAAACAGGAACAAAAATAGGTAGCACAAAGACACGAGTAATGGGATTATGCATAGGAAGCACTGATGTTAAATTTTTCTCCCACACCTTGCAAATGACAAGGTGAATAAACCCTCATTAAAATACCCTCCACATAGTACGAGCCACATTTGAAACTCTAAGGAGATTAATGCCTCGGGGAGTAGCCATGCATGCCAGAGAGACTTAAGCTAATGTAATCTTGAGTCATCCAACAACATTGCACTCTCCCGCCTAAAATGAATTTGTATGCCCAATGAACAGGTGAGCCCTGAAATTGTCACGTTTTGCCATAGTGCTAGAGAGGGTTTGACATTCCATTAATGCTAGAGTGCTGAGAGGTATAATTCCACTGATTCAGGTGCCAATCTCCTGTCTGGAATACCAGCTAGCATAACCCAAAGGAAAATGCTTCCTCCAGGGATGAGGAAACAGATTTGACATTGACCCGCACCGGCAGAGTTTGTACACTTAGACTTTGTTAAATCTAACTGGGGTGAGGATAGGTTCTGTTCAATTATGTACTCTGAATATCAACGACCACTGCTTACTGTTTCTTGGTACTGATTCTGCTGCGCTTACTGAAAAAGCTAATGCTGCCTTACATTTCTGCATGTATTTGTAGAACCACGCAATAATAAAGCACAACACACACACACACACACACATGCAATCTACGCTTTTTCTCACCCTGCACATCTAAATATACAAACACACATGCTCAGAGCACTGTATTGAGGGCAGGACATCTATATGCTAATGACCAAAGCTCAGTGTTGATTTTCTATTGACCTCAAGTGGGTCCACAGTCAAAGAGAAAATAGAAGCGGTGAATACAAGCAGTTTACTGGATTGCTACATAAATCAGCACCATGTTAGCAAACACTCAGAGCATGCCTGCCTCGTAGCAGAGCCAACATCCTGCATTAGAGAGCAAATACCCAGGTGATACGGCTGCATTCATGCACAAACAGATACAGTGTCAGAGAGAGGTGGGACACGTAGCAGATGGGAAAAGGGTCAGGGGTTCAGCAGAAGGGACAAAGGAAGAAATTAGCAAAAACGTGGTGTATCTACCGAGAGAAAGGCTTGAACGATGTCTGCCTTGATTGAGCTGAGAGGTTTGTCTTTGATGACAATGAAGATCTGTTCCTCTTTTTCCAGGTTGATGAAGTTACCAAACCAGGATTTTTTGGCAAGTCTGTGAGGAAAGAAAAGACATTTAGCAGAATATAAGCCCAATGTTGTACACATACATCTTTATGCAGCTGACCATTTTTGCAACCTTGTTTTAGTTCCCTATCAGTCTATTGATTCTGAGAAACAACCACCTCCCCACAGTTCTGTAGGGATTCAAAGGAGCAAACAGAGGATATTCCAGTGCATTGTGTATGAATGGATTTGAGGGGGGTGGGGTGAGATAACTGAGTCTCTCTGTGAACAGAAGGAGCAGAGGTAGATGAATTTACTGCCCAGGTGCACTTTCAACCACTAGTAAGCCATATGGACTCCTGTTTTCTGGCATTAATATTAGATATACGATTTATAATATTTAGCATTACATTTAAATCAATATAAATACCTAGTAAAATATGGAAACAAATGTAGATTAGCCTAAAGAGATGCACTGTTCTGCAGTAGGAGACTGACTACAGCTCACGTGACTGTATACTTCGGGTTGAGCTAAAACAGGGTCTCTCTCTGATCAATTTTCCAACTTCTTTCAGTTGGGAAATTCCTATCTAGCCAGGTGGAAATGACCAACCCAGACAGCAACCAGCCAACCAAACAGGCATATCTAGGCCAACCTTGAGTTATCAGGCCCATGGGAACTCAAAAGCATCACGCAGGCTCGTCCTGCCTCCCTCATAACCCACTCACTACCTCCTGCTACTGTCCTCTTTCCAACTCAGACCAGACCGGAGGTCATTACAAGTCGACTCAGCAGGCAAAAATCAAACATTCATAGATGTTACACTTTCCAAAACATCATCCTATCGAGAGGGAGCCTGTTTGAGCCAGTGGCTAAGGGGCTGAGAGGTTATGCATAGTTATGATAGCAGTGGTGCTTTCAAAATGGACAGCGTCTGCTTACTCTGGGGAAGACTCTGGTGTGAGGCTGGACATCTCCTCTTGTGTGGGAACTGTGGAAGCAGAGTTAGATGTCAGACGATTGAGAAAGACTTAAAATTGTCAAAAAAGTATATTACGGTACAATGTACAGTAAAACTTTTGGGGAAAAACCAAGATTGTAGCATTAGTCAGCAATTTTTCATGTAAATTGGCTGAAATCTACCTTGGAGTTTCCTGCGATGGAAACGTGGTGAGCCCAGGAAGCTGTTCTTGATGGAGTTGAGGCGCGTCCTCCAAGGCATGCCTCCAATAGAGGGGCTTGGGGGCGGTGTTGGAGTAGGTGTCCCAGCTGGGCTGTCCTTGGGAGTGTGCACTGGGGTGCCCTTTGGGGTGGGGAGGGGGCTGCCTCGAGGGGAAGGGTGAGGGGTAACCTGTATGAGGGGGATAGATTTGGGTGGGTGGTCAGTAAATGGAGAAGGGGGTGGTGCTACAGGGTGAAAATGGTGCAGCCTGATTGGTGACAGGGGCAACAAAGGGCTAAAGGGCACAGAGAGTTGGGGGTTGGCAGCATAATGAGCTCGTCGTACTTGGGGGCTGTTTAAGATGGTAGCACTGGCGATGGAGGATGAGGAAAACGGGGAGGATGGGGAAGATGGAGAAGTAGGGGTAGGAGGCACAGAGGCAGAGGGTGGCTGTGATGGAAGCTGGCAGGGAGTGGAGGATTCTGATTTGGCTGCAGGTTCTGGATCAAGGGTGGTTTCAGGGAGTGGGTTTGATCGTGTGGCTTGGAGGGGCTTTGGGACAGTTTTGGACTTGGCAGGGAGCGTCTGTGTCTTGTTGAGTGCTTCTGGCAGGGGCTCACTGTTTGGAGCGAGCGAATTGGGGGTGGAGATACGCTGGCCTGCGCGATTTGGAACGGGCTCAGGGGATGGACAGGGACTGGTGTTAGGGGACGGGGACAAGTCTGGGGACTGAGGTGGTACACCAAACTTTCTGACAGGCTAGATTAAAAGAATAACACAGCCAAGAGGAAGAAGAGGTGTAAAACAAAAAGACAACAAAAGAAACAAACAGAAAACACACACAAGAATGCATGCAAGTACACAAACACACAAAGCAAAGGAAAGGGAAGGGCAAACCACCACACAGGTAAAGGAAGAAGTAGCCAAAGGATTTGGAGGCAGGTAACAAGTGCACACACATAGGAAAGATGGAGGAATTGCAACAACAAAAAAGAGAGAAAGAAAACATGATAAAGACCATTCAGTGACTCATGTCAAAGCAAAACAAAACAAAAATGAAATGGGAATAACAATACCAGCAAACAATGTGCACACTTTAAAAAAAAATCCAAACAAAACACAAAAAGACAGACTTTATTTGCATAAAACATACAAGGCATTCCCAGCAGAGACAAGCAAGAAAACACAAACACACGAGAGAGACAAAAGGCCAATTGGGCTGTCTCAAAAACAAGTGGAAGGTGGCAACTCTGCAGTCAAATTTCCTGATTATTTATTGATGTACTGATTTTGCATGGTTCATTTGCACTCACACTGGTTCAATATTTGCCTTCAACACATTCCTGTCTTCCAGAAGCTAAGTCTGAGAAAATAACCCCACACAGAGCTTCTTGCTGAGAACACAATCCAGGCTTTGGGTGGGTTTGAGAAATCAATTTCCCTTTCAGATAAGCCTGCAAGAACCTGTGTGGTGAGGAGCTCGTCTTAGGATCCTGGCTAATCTGGAGCCTTCTCAGGTTAGTCAGCTGGAAAAGTTTACTACAAGCTCCCCAGCTTTGAGCAAAGGAAAGTGGGATTTTCTGAAGCATTCCCTGAGCTGGATTTCCAAAGAGCTCAGGCCATAGAAAACAGAGAGAAGGATAATAAGTGCAGAGGATGGAGAGAGAAGAGGCTTTGTGGGGTGGAGAAAGTTTTCTGTGCTGTCATGCCTCCTGCGTGCATTCAGCAGTGGGTTTTTACTTAGCATTAACAGAAACATCTAAGCTATATGGACACACAGGAAGCCCTGATATGATACAGGATATGAAAAGGTAATCAAAATGGACCTATACTTTCTCAAAACACAAAGGTAGATTGGTGGAAAAATATTGCTGTGCAGAGAAATATTGTTTTCTTTGTGTGTGTGTGTGTGTGTGTGTGTGTGTGTGTGTGTGTGTGTGCGCTTCTTTCATGGTCAGAAAAAAAGAATATTGCTTTATTTTCTATTGCTGACATAATATGACATCAATAAAATGTGATCAGCAGTAGTTGGTTGGCCATTATCCCAGAAGGTTAACAACTAGTTAGTTAAGAACTGGGTCAAGAGGTGTGTGTTTTATGTGTGTGCGTGTTTGGATGTGAACTGAGGATTACGACTCACCCGTGGGCTGCTGAGCGGGCTGGTGGAGAGACCAGAGGAGGCTCCACTAATAGACCGCGACCTGTGGTACAAACATGTGAGAACACACAGGAGAACAGTAATTTGTGGTATCAACACATGACCTGTTATGTGTTTGAATGAACACAGGTGGGGGTGAACGCTTGGTTACTTGTTACACGTTATTTAGAAAGTGGAGCAGCATATGGAGCTGTCATACTAAGCACACGGGTTACTATCAAGCCCCCTGCAAACACAACACCTACCACACAAATAGGGTACATGTATCACAACACAGTAACAGCACTGAGGTAAAAACTACTACCAGCAATTAATCTCACTCAAAAGTCAGTTTAACAGATATTGATTTGACAAATTTAAACTTCCCACACACTAGGACTCAATCTAGCTTTAAGCCACATTTAAAGTTTGATAATAAACCAATCATTCTGACTTCTTAAGCCTTTAGGCCATGAAACTATCTCGAGAGGGAGAATGAAGAGAGACATTTGGTTGAGCGCCATTTGTCATGTTTGTCTTTTCCCTCGCAGATGCCGTCAATAACCCCTATGAGCGGAGTCCTGTTCAGAAATGAACAATCACAGCACAATCTGTCTTCATCAAGCACGCACGTACACATGTACACACACAGACACACACGCACGCACACCCAAAAACAACGCCTGTCAACACTTGGAAACACCAGCTGCTCACTGTCACAACACTGTTCTTTTTTGTCATTCAATCTAATCATACCCCTCTTCCTTCTCTCCCCCCACTTTCTCTTTTTATGTCAGCATGGGTGCATTTATTAATGTATGTCTGTAGCTATAGATCTTTTATCTCTGCTTGAATAAAGGAAGAGATAAAAAAGCAGTGACTACTGCTTTTTAAACTACCTGATTGAAGAAGATCTCATGAACAAACTTGAGAAGAGACTGAGATCATTTAAAAGTAAAAAGGGAGGATGGATGGAAAAATAAAGAGTGTGTGGAGTAACAGGGCCATATGCTCACTTCTAATGCTGGAAGCATTCCCACAAGACCACACGGCATTCGAGGAGGCAAAAACTAAAAATGATTATGGCTATCAGCCTAAAAAATGATAATACTGTTATAACAACTGCAACAGCCATAATCATACTCCTGAGAGTAAACAAAGCAGAATAAGGAACATTAAAAGCTACCAAGAAAGTGAGGGAAATTTAGAAACACCCACTGGCGAGCTATTTTTATAAGTTTACCGCTCCCCTTCTACAAATTTATTTAGTGCACACATCCTTTTACACATGAGTAGGCGTGCCGAGACCATGCTGGCAAGGATTTCCTGTTTCATGGAACAACCGACCAGACAGTTGGTATCATTTACATTTAAGTCCTACAATCCACTGAGACATGGCCGCAGTTGCTCACTGCAGCACTTGTGACCATGTAGCCAACTGAACTTCATTTAAACATGGCCAAAACACAACGTCCTCCGGCCATTATGAGCATATTGTTAGGAGCACTCTGCATCTGTTAGTGTTGGACCAGAAGGCCTATAAAGCTAATGTTGCAGATGGTTATGCTGTACAGTAATAGGCTGTCAGAGGCTCAACCTTGCTTCAGAGAGAGGATAAAATGTTGTTGTTCAGTGCTTTATTTATAGGGAACAGCATACACAAGGAGGGAGTCATTTATCATGTATCACAGAAACCACAGGCCCACATTATTAAACCTGCACTGGAGACAACATTGTAGCAAGCTAGCTACTCTACTCTCGAGCTACTCTGTGCTTGTGTGCTCACTATGTTTACATGCACATACAGTATCCTGGATTTATTTTTGGAATATTCTGGCTATGTAGCGCACATGTAAAGGCCATGCTGCAACAAATCTTGAACCCTCCCAGTTGACTGTTATTATAATTATTCTTTTAAATCATTTTTAGCGCTTTTTGCTTTGCCCTTGGACATCATTTGCAGTAAGCTGGCTACTGATTGGTTACCCCTCTTTGCTATAACATGTATTCTGTGGGTGTTATCACGTGAATTTCATTTAGCTTAGCTTGCTTTACTGTAGCTGCTTGTTGGTAGCTGTGAACATGGCAAATTTATCCTGATACTACATGAGCCTCATCATTGCCAAGTCACTCAAAGGACTCCTCCCCTGACAGGTTACCTTCTTATCAAGGGAGGAATACTGACCAGCCTGATGCTGAACATACCAATTCCAAGAAATCTTACAGCTAAATATTCCAGGGCCAAGATCACTGATGAAGGGGTTCCTTTTCAGCAATATATCCAGTAGCACAGTAAATTCTCTAGATTTACTGGGTCAGTTTGGCCTCTCTTATATTCTGCCATTCTGTTCTTAGCTGCTGGGTGACAAGGCGAGAGAAGAGAGTCATCTTTTCAATGCTGACAACAACCAACTAAGCTTCCCGCTGTGTTTACAGTCAGAAGTTGTAACTACAACTATGGATCTCTGACTTTGTCTTGAGTACAGGAAGCTGATGGCATCGTTCCCAGTAAAGTGCATGTTCACTGTCATGACTATCAATGGACCAGTACATCAAGAGCTAGAGTCATAACTAATGTTACTCTTTTCTGCTCAGATACAAACTTGATAAATGTGGAATGTGAAGACTTAATACCCAGACTTTTGTGTCTGTGTAAGAATATTGGTGCATGCAGTGTTTAACAGAGACATGGTCTCTGGAAATACCCATTGCTATTTGTGGACAATAATACGGCACATGTACTGAACTAGAAGATGTTTTTCTTTTCTTTTTTGGGTTGTTGTTGATGCAATTTTGATACCTATTATGGTAGTTCTCTTATCTAGTAGTCATTAATTCCCATAAGCCTATTTTCAAACAGGACCCATGTCCTCAGTATGTGACCGCCAGTTGTCAGAAACCCATCCAAAGCGCCTGGGGAACTAACGTGTGGCTGCGGGGGGGTAGAACAAGTATAACAGATTCTGGGTTGAAGGCATGGACTGAAATAAAACAAAATGCGAGAAAAATAAAATGGATGGTGCCAAGAGCCAAACAGAAAATGAACAACACTGCCAAAGCCAAAGCACAATACGACTGAGATACATATTCCCTTTCTAGCACCTCTATATTGGCTGCTTCTTACCAATGGGTCTCTTTTTACACATAGTAAGTATTCATATAAATCCACAAACTGTTTGAAATCATTTGCTTCTTTGCACCTCAACAAGTCCCTGCAGATTCAGTGCATTAATATTTACAGCCCAGTTCCTTAAATGTCTAAATATAGCAAGACCTCTGCAGTTTCTGTAGTAAAGATCACAGTTTAAGGTGTTTTATTTGTGCTTATTGTAGTCTCTTAAATAAATTAATGTCAGTAATTAGCAGGCGAGCTGACTTCTTACGACTGCTCTGACTACTCCACATTCAAACTGCGTGAAGCAACTAGAGCAAATCTCTAATAAAAAAAAATCAATTGATATTCTCTCCTCCTCGCTGCAGCACTTTTCCATATTTCATTTACATATCATTAACCTCCCTTCATTTCTCCTGGCGTGTTGTTAAGATTTAAAATTAAATCAGTGGATTTCTTATGCTTTGAGTTAAGCTTTAAATGTCTTTTTAAGTGACATTTTTGCATAGAAAGATTGAAACGGACATTCACATGAGAAAGTCTCCATGTGCATTACTGCACAACATAGCTACCGCACCTTTATTCCAACATCCGTACTTCATAGGAGCAATCGAATTAACAATCATTTGTATGAAACTAAGGTGAGGGCTGATACTCTGAATGTAACTACGTGATAAATGAGAGGCAAAATGCCTGATAAAGGACAGGAATTCAGACATTTTTGTTATGCAATTTCAGATCAAGCTGTTTCCCCCCTCTCTTTCACTATTTACGCTGGTGGAAATGTATCCTGTCAAAACACATGTTTCAAAGTCAGTCCGCTCTCTGAGGCCCTCTGATCTGAAGTTCTATGAATCTTCTGCGCTGTCGACAAAAGTTTGCTGTTGAGGAAAGATAAGGTTAGGTTCAGACAAAGTCACTTAAATCTTTGGACGTTATTCTGCTACGTACGCGCTTCCCCAGCACCATCGTCTATCCACGCACATGCAAGCAAGCACATGATCAAACACAGTGTGCACAAGGACGTGATAAAAGCCAGAAAAGTTTGAAAAACACACACAAGCGCACACACCAAAATCAAGATTCACACAGACTTTGTTACTAACTTCTTTTCCCCCTACTGATCAGATGGATAGTTATGGATTGCAGTAGGGGGGAAAGACATGTATAGCAGGAGAGCAAGATTTGATTTGATTTGGAGGCAGAGGGCCTGTGGCATACCTACAATCTACCACAGCCGATAGGAAGGCAGACAGAGAAAAACTAGCAGCATGTCCTCATTAGCATAGCAATTCCATACTAACAGAGGGGGGTGTTTGGGATTGAAGGTCAGCAGCACACAAGGAACCCACAGGAAAGATAGAGACAGTGGCGATATACAAGAGTGGCGCGGTGCCCTGGAAGAAATTTGGGTATAGGGAAAAGAGCAAACAAACTGATCTGAAGCTGTATTGAAGAAAGATGCAGCAGAGCTGTTTTTGTTGACTGGAGCTGCTGATATGCAAGTTTGAGACGCAAACGTTGTCCTCATAAAATCGACTTTTAGAGCCCCTTTCTAATTCACACTATTCAAGATGTGTGTCATCACCAATCGAATTAATGTTAGCAGGCTATTATTAATGGTTTATCCAGTCAGTGCAAACTGACCTTCTTTGGGATTCTAGTTATGACTTGAAATGAGATGAGTCAGAGTGAAGGGCAGAAAAAGGCAGCTACTAAACTAAGTCAACCTTTAAATAAAGAAGAGATAAGACATGGGCCGCCTGAAGGGATGAAGAGGCACAGCAGAAGTGAAGAAACAAAAGAGGATGAATCTTAAACTAGAATTTGGAGGCACCAGCAGACAGAAGGAACAAAAGCACACATGTTTAGAAGTGGGAGCTCTTGAAACGGATTCAAAACTTCTCAAGTGGGTTCCCTCGGTGAAATGGTACGAATCAAATTCTCGATATTTTGTTGTTGGCAAAGCACTATGGAGAAAAGTTATTAATGCACCTGACATTTGAAGAACTTAACTTTAGGACTGCATTTTTTATTCTATATAATAAATGCACTCCCCACCTCTCCATTTATGCTCTGTATCTCTGAAAGCTTTTTCCAGCACTCTGCCAATCTGACTATCATTAGGCAGATCAGGTTATCATCCCCTCAGATTCAATCTTCCCCGCTGTCACAAATGTCACTGCCTCTGAGCACAAATGTGTGGTGTGGCGATATATTGGTTGTTCAAATAAGATGAAGAGAAGGATTTTAAATCAGTCCGCTGTGCCTTGTGGGGGTGTGGTTCCGGCTTGACTTGAGCATTTCTAAAATAGAGAAATGGAAAATTGTTCTGCAACTAGAGAAAGTGGGACACAGCATAGGAGAAGTGATTATCAGTGCATTCAGATTACGAAACGAAGAGATAATTGAGCTAACGGCAGAATGGAGGGGTGGGGGTAGAAATATTTAGCCTCTGAATTGCAAATGCAGTTTTCCCTGGTTTGAGATGAAACTTAATTAAAAGAGTTAAGTTAAACTTCAGAAGAAAAGCGTTAGTGTTACTTCACGCCGACTACAGAGTCAAGCTCAGACAATTCCGGTTCAGCTGGGCTCAATACAAGTTGACATCAGCTGATAGCTCAGCTCACCTACCTACACATGCAATTAGCAAACCTCATACAGGGTGTGCTATTTAGGCTGCTGTAAACGGGCTAAACCCCAGCCTATGCTTTCAGTCTCATATCTCGTAACTGCCTCTGTTTTTGCACCTATGTGTAAGGAGCCATGCATACTGTGGATTAAATAACTATCTAAACTGCTACTAAACTACAAGACATGTGAAGCAACCACAACAAGCAACATATGCCATCATCATTTAAAAACAAAGATTTGACTAGAAAAAGCCATGCTGCATCTTTCTTTTGCCTGAATAAGTGAGACAGAGAGGGGAGAGGTAAAAGCGTGAGGGGTGAGTGGCAAATGAGTACCTTTCTTCTTTGCTGCATTTTGTACTGGCATCAGGAATATCCAAGCTTTTACTGTAAACTGATTTACTAGTGAGACAGGAGATAAAGTGAGCAGAGAGTCAGTCTCTGTTTATGTTTGTCTACAATGCAGCCTGCTGACACTGGATCCAGACTCACTGTCAGAGCTGTAAAAACACCACAGTGTTGCTAGATCCTCCTCACACACAAACGCAGGACAAGGTCTGTCTTTACTGATTCATTTAAAAAGGTATTGATTTAAAAAAAGAGAGAGTTTTTCTCCTCACTTCTGCGCGTACCTTTGTCCATGCTGTGTCATATCGATAGCCCTCCTGGCCGGGACAGGTGAGCCTCCGTCCGTGACACTGAGGACCTCCATGGACTTCCTCTCTGGTCTCCTCTTGCCATGACGATTCAACATGGGAGAGTCCACTCTCTTCCTCGGAGGATCTGTGCGTGACAGAAAAAGACATGGTGATTTGGAATAAATGCAAAGCACCAGACACGTGTCCATGTTACTGCGAGTATATCTATGTGCTGCTCAGTTTTGTGTATATGTGAGGGTTTGAGTGATGTTTAGGGCTGATCGCAATGACATTTTAACTAATAGTGAATAAGTAATGGTTTCCTCCCAGACCTTGAACTAATGGCCACTGTATTGACTGTATCACATTCACTGAAGAGGGAGTCTATTCATCAAGATGTCGGTATCTCAGAGCAGTTACTCACATACACACATTTGCACGTAATACTCCTGTTTCAGTGTTCTTGTCAGAAAATAACCCTGGCAGACGTCTAAGCAGAGCATCTCCGTCTCTACTCAGACTTCTGTGGGTGGAAATCTGTGCTTGGTTGCGGTGTACGGATGATAGAATATCTTTTCTTTTTTTGAAGAGTTAATATCTGAGCCAAAGCAGTTGGGGGGTGACAGTTTTTTAAAAATAAAAAATAAAACTTCTCTGCCCTATTGACACCTTCTATTTCTGCTACTACATTTCATTGAAAAGCTTATTTATTTTCAATAAGCAGAATGCTTTTTCTACTGCAGAGCCAATCCACCGCTACTGGAGCCGATCCAATTTCTTCTTAACAGAGGAAAACACTGCAGAATCGTTCAGAAACTGGGAGCATTCATGAGTTACCTTTTTGTAGTGCTTAGTATTGTGCAAATTGGATGGTTTTGTTTGTGTAAACAGTAGTCAAATCCATGACTAGTTTAAAAAAAATCATTAAAAAACAGGCACGATTCTTACATGGTGGTACAGTTCATACGTACTGTGTGTCATATTGTGGTTTAGCTTTCTGAGTTGTTCTTTTTTAAAAGAATATCATTTTCTAATGTTACACTCTTTATGAACAATTCTCTCGTTGTTCCAGGGCTCACCAATCTCATTGCGAGGGGGAAGATTCTGGTCCTCCTGACTAGGGTACCTCTCCTTTCGATCCAATAGCAAGAAGTAGATCATCTTCTCTTGGTTGTCACTGCAAAAAGGTGGCAGTAAAAAGACTCTTGAAATGTCAGGAAAAGTAAAAATACTTAATTAATTCCTACACAACCATGCGTATAATTAGATACCTAGGGTGTGTAGGGGAAAAAAAGTACTCATACCATATCAAACTGTAAAATCCCTCACTATGATTAATGTTCTATAATCTTTTGGGATTCTTTGTGAAGCACCAATAAATATCTCTCATCATTAAAACAAAAGTTTAGTTTTACAGATCATTAAGCCGTCGTGTAATAATATGCATGCATTTTTTAAGACGCGGCACATCTCTATATGCAGAGTCGACTGGTAAGTTTATGAAAGTCTCAAAACATTACGAGTTCAACCTTTTCTTTCTCAGTAAATCAGGAAGCCTAATATCTTTAGCCTCTAGGCCAATATTCTCTATGCAAAATTCCCAGGGACTGGCCCTCTATAATAAAGACAGATTGGAAAGCAGTAGGAGGCAAAGAGACAAGGACCTGCAACTTCAGCTAAAATGAAACAGGGGAAGGGAGATAGAGACCACAGATTTTCCTCCAGTCCAGCACTATTACGAGATCCTCCCAGGAGAAAGGAAGAAAATGGAAGGGATGGGTAGAGGGCACAGTGATGGAGTAATGCTTGCTTAGCATTAAAGTGGAGAGGATAGGCAAATGTAAAATAGTGGTATAGGAGGAAAAGGAAACAAAGAAAAACTGCAACATCTGCACACTGGACACACATTGATAACAAACAACTGTATGAAAGTCAAGGACAGCATTTATACGCACGCACACACACACACACACACACACACAAAGTAGAGAAAAATATTAGAAACTGCAACTGAGACACAAATATTAAAAGCAGAACAACAACAATTTGACCCATGAGCATGTTCACAGTGGAAACCAGGATCAGTTTAAAGGGAATGTATCTGGTGGCAAACGGTGTAAGCGCCGTGTGATAACAGTTAAGTGATCTATGGCTTCTGACATCTAAAGCGACAGCCTAGCAGGATTTTACAGGAGCTGGGGAAAACCAAGGCTGAGTGAGCACACAGACACAACACACCTATCCTTTCATTGCAGTGCTCTCTTCCTTTATCAAAACAACCACCAATCCCCATTCTCTTTTTTTTCGTACTACTGTCTGCTGTACAGCCATTTACTCACTCATCTGAGAGCAGGTCTTTCAGTAATTTGTTTTTGTCTCTGAAGCAGCCCAAAGAGTGCATGCTGTCCAGTACGTCGGGGTCGATATCTTCTGCAGAGGGCAGGCTGCGGATGGTCACCTTCCTGGGAACTGGCTGCTCTGGCTCTGGTTCATTTTTGCCTCCTCTGTTAATACAAAGACATTCAAAAAGAAATAAGGACAATATCAGTGGGTTTGGTTGCCACTGCTACTAATTTTCAGTAATTTAATTTGGTTTTTTCATATAGAAACTTGCATTTGGAACACAATTGTGTAAAATCGTAGATGTACAAACTTTAATATGACCTTTTGTGTCAGTATGACTTTAGTTTATATTAAGAGACTTTTAAAGTCACAGGTTTTCCTCAGGTGTAGGCACTTTTGCATGTTCCAGAGGGTGATTGTGTCAGCAGGATTCAGGCAGATGACTTAGTCATGCTGTTATATTCAGCAACCTGCCTCTTCTACTCTGGCGTGATTTCTAAATGTAGTTTCTTCATTATTATTATTATTAGATTAATTTATGTCACCTTTGTCTGCTGTTTTTTTACATGCACACACACATTTATATTCTTTAGGGCTGAAATAAAACGTTATACTGCACAGTTCATTTTCACAAAGATTTCTATAATATTCTAGATGTTTCTTTCACACACAAATCTACTACTTCTGGAAATGCGCCAATGCTTAGAAGTTATTACAGAGACAGATTTGAACTCACACACTTCCACTTTTTACCTCCCTGAATCTATTATTTTTCCTTCAGTGAACCCAGTGAAGCATAAACCTCACTGGCAGCTATTGAAATGACACAGACCTCCACTTTTCTATATGCTGTGAACTTGTGAACCAGACCTACATTGATTGTTCACCCCACATAACCACCAACACTCCTGTTTCAGTATGTGCATATAAATTCGGGTGGTAAGGGTAATGAAAAAGAAATCTAAATATATAACAGTCCAACTTCAATAAATCAAGTCTTCACGAGGACTTATAATGCCGACCCACGGGTGAAACTGTTACTTAAGTTTTGATTTATATGGAAAGCCGGTGAGGTCATAATTCGCCGCATTCTCCCTGCTATTCAATGTTTTATTATCACCAGCTGGCTGACTCTTCTGGCAAAATAAACAATCCCCTCAAAACAGGTTTATCTGTGCTCAAAAATCAAACATTTCTTTCTTTTTAACATCCCACAGTTAGAAAAAATGAAAGCACCACTAAGCGTACTTTAGACAGACGTCAAAACATGAAAATCCGTGGTCATATCATATGGCTCCAGAAAAAACAAATCATCCACAACTAAGGAACATGGTTTAAATAGTCCATTTACCCTTTTTCCATTTTAACTGCTTATCCAATTTGGGTTCAAAGAGAGTACACCATGAACAAGTGACCAGTCCTTCACTGGGCTAACACAGACAATCGCACACTTTCACAGGCACACCAATTATCCTAGAAAAATCTGGAATCTTTGTGCTGTGAGACAGCAATGCTAACCACTGCACCACCTTGCAACCTTCAGTGTTGATACTGCATACGGCAAGTACCATGTATGTCATGCAGTCCTCCCCCTCCACCATATCTTGACCTCATCCAGGTTGTCCTGGGCATCTTGTCCAAGATCTCTACCAGCCATTTGCTCACTGTGCACCATCACCCTCGCCAGCATCTTAATGCCTCCTACCTTCATGTGTGATTCTGAGGTTCCTTCTCATTAGCCTCATTTGCCTGTCTGTACCTAGCACACAGGCTCTGACATGACTTTAGATTCCTTCTGAAATGGTACTGTGAATGCTTACTCGGCAGAGTTTGGGGCCGTGGTCAGTGGCGGAAAGGTTGGAATTGTTGATTCTATCAAAGTTGGCAATTCTGTTTTTCTGCATTTCAACAATATGAGCCCCTTTCTGTCAGAACATAAGAAGCACATAAGAGCCATCCTTGGTCTGCATTCAGCCATGAAACCATACATGAGCTACATGCATGATCACTGGCTTTTACATTTTGTCTGTTTTGCCTAATTTTCATTCTTTGAATGCAAGTTGTATTTATTTAGGTGAAAATTGTTTCATTTATTGCTAAAAGAGTGACTGATTCAATAAAGATCTTAAGGACACTAACCATTTGGTTCAGTAAACAGGAATAAGTTCTTTAGAAATTGAAAAAAGTGAAAAATGCTTAATATCAGAGAGAATAAGATGATTTTTAACTTTGCCAGCTTTTCACAGTTTCTACTTCATGGCAATTTTTTATGGCTGTAGTTTGCCGAGGTTGAATTATACTAATGTTTCTGCAACTGTTTATATAAACAATCAGTTTTACAACCTTTCTTATATAGGACTTACTGTTTTCGTGGGACATTTAGTTTCAGAAAGTTAACTAAACTATCTGTTTGGCCTGGCACTGCGTTCTTCATCATCACAGCTCCAGGCAAGTGTGCTGAAAGATTGTTGGAACAATCACCATCTAAAAATACAGGGTTGATGGCTTTATTCAATTTTGTGTCAAAAGTTTTTCTTTTTGTGATTTTGACATGTTTTTTTATTTTATTTTATTATGTTTTTACATCACAGATGAGTTGCCTGTGGAAAATGACCACATTTGTCAGACAAATGTCACCTCTCATTCATTCATTTATAAGTTCATTCATTCAGCCAGTCACTTGACAAGCCAGCCTGCCGTGCAGAGACAGATAGCATGGCAACTTCCTCACTGACAAAACTCATACTACATTAGTCTTCTTGCCTAGCTCTTGTCTCCTCTTGTTTCTTATATCAGTCTTCCTGTGTTTACATGATCTTTCAGTACAGGACAGAAACCATAACTCAGCCCCTTCCAAGATGCAGACTCTCCTCTGATGATTCATCGTTGGTATTGCATTGCCGAAAGCAATCCTCAAACCTACTGGTAAATGTTTTTAATACTTAACAAAACACTTGTAAATTATTAAAATCTATTATAAGAACACTGTTAAGAGAAAAATAAATAAATCTCATGATAATGGAGAGCATATTTGAAGACGTAAACACTTTAAATCGTGGATACAGATAAGTAGGATGCTCAAAGACACCCCCTTAAAAACTGATTTTCTCTTCTATTGAATGGTATTAAGTCAAGACCTACAGGGCTTTATACACCTTCACAAATTAAGATCGTGGATGACAAGGAGGTTAAGCAAATTCTTCCACTTGATCACTTTTCACTTTAATCAAGTAGTGTAAATTTAAAAACAGTGTAATTTTCAAAAGAGACTGACCGCACACAAAAAACTACAGTGTGGAACTACAGTGAAACAGAGACAGTTGTTTGAATGATGTTCCAGGAAAAGCCAATGTTGTCAATTTATAGCAAATCTACGGATCGATAATGGCCAAACCGGTAATGACTAGGCCCCTTTTTGAATAATGTGCTCTGGATGGAAAGCTATAAGATAGAGACACAACTGGAGCCTTTAGTAGAAGAGCCTCATGCATACTCTATTTGTGTATTCATATCTCTAGCATTTATTAATTTGTTTTCCTAGTTAATAAACTCGTTTATTTACAAGTGTACAATAAATTATCTCAAAATATTTGTTAGCCTAAAAAGGTTGGTACACCCCTTTCGGCATGTCAAACGCTGGGTACACTGAGGTTAGCTGGGTTCAGTCTAGTTTTCATCATCTCGGTTCCTGCTGCCCTGCTCTCTGTTCAGCTGACCATATGCCTCACATCCTCTTTCACGCACTACCAATTTACCCCCACAGCCTGGAGTCGTGCCCTGCTTAAATGTACTCTTGTGTACAGAGCTGGAACTCAAAGTCATTTTTCATGAGCCAGCTCCCTTCAGGTTTACAAGCCCTGCAGAATAGCTGAAGGGAGGACAGGAGTGTAAACATAAAGAAAACAAAACAAAACAGAGGACTACTTACATGTACCATGTGTGCTTCTGGATCTGTTCTAACTGGAGAAGTAACGAGAAAAGAAAAAATGAAGATCAGTTCACAAAATGCAATTCACTGGAAAATAGTATCATGTTGTTGACAAGAGAATAAAACGATAAACGAAGGTATAGAAATTGTTGGCACATTACAACGCCAGTAAGTATTGAACTTACGAAGTTTCAAGGAAATAAACCAGAGACAATACAGGCAGGTTAAGGTGTGGAAGTAAATAATGAGACCTTCAAATGTTAAGACTGCCAATGGAAAAAAAAACATATTGAGGAAAAGGAGAGAAAGGTTCAGCAAAGGCAAAAAGAGGAAGGTGATACAACTGAGCTAAACACAGAGAATATTATCTCCCTCACACATGCAGCTGACCCTGCCAAGCCCTCTGGTCTGAAGGGAATCTCCTATTCTCATCCACTTCCCATTTCACTGACTCACACACTCACTTTTTTTAATACTACCCTTGTCATCGCACATCTAGAGTGGCCACTTTGTCACCAACCCTGTCAGCGTAGTCTTTTGTCAAAAAAGGAAAAGCAGAAAGAGAGGAACAGCGGGCAAAATAGCAACAAAGGAAGATGTCTGCTAGAATGACTCCACGGTGTTTCAACTGCCCACAGAAGGAAAGCGGATCAATGTCACTGCTGGGACTTTTTAATTTGCTCAAGCTGTTGTTGTGGAACCACAGGAGATACACATGACAGCTCTAATTATTGTCACTTATTCAGATGCATAGTTCTCGTGTCAGTGTCTCCATCAATGTCTTGATGTTACCACTTCCCTAGAGAATTTACCTCTGTGCTTCAGCACCGATGCATGCCTTCCTGAGATGTTAGTGCAATCACAGAGCCGAGAAGACTGTGGTTACTGACTATAGGTGACTCTACCACAGAGGTCGTGATATTGACAAGGACACCCTGCCAGTCAGATAGAGACTAGTGGGTGACCTACTCTGTCCGACTTTTATTGAAGGCCTGGAGGCAAGAGTCTTGTATCTCACACAGGGTTGAAAGTGATGTGGTTTGAAACGTAGAATCACATCAATCATTTTCTAAATGTGTCACTACTGATTCCAGATGCTTTCAGGCAGAAGAGATGCTGTGGTGTATATTTATCAAGGTGCTGCATATGTGATTCTCAGCTTACTTGTGTTTGTAGGTCTGTAAGCAGAAAGAGAACAGTCACATGGCTGTTCAGTGGAGGAAGGACCACAATCTGTGTTTACAGTAGAGACTTACTCTGTTGTTTCAAGTCATAATATACAGAAACACAAAGTCAGATGTGTAAGTATTTGGAAACTGTAACTGAAAGATGTGCTCGAAGTTAAAACTTTCAGCTGTGATTCAAGGGATTTAACAAAAGATTTAATCCTTCTAGTTTCACAGGCTCCAAACTAATTGCATAATTTAATGATAAGCAGTCGTGTTACGGCCATGAATCAAAGAATTCCAGCTGAATGTTTTTAGCAACAAAATTACCAAGGTTGTGTCACTGCCTAAATACTTACAGACTTTATTCAATTAAATAGACAGTTAAGAACAGCTTTTACACAATGAACAAACATTGAATTAACCTCCTAAGACCCAAACTCTTTCATGGCATGCATTTTTAATTTCTCTTTGCTATGTGGGGCGACTGGGACCTGATGAATGTAAAAAGAAAGAATTACGTAGAATATATAAAACATATAATATGTACGTCCTGCTCGTACTCGATTGAACCCCATGTGACCGATGGAAATGTTCTAACTATTCATGAGATAGATTCTGCAAGGTGCCCGAAACTTGCATCGGAGATTTTGGTTCATGTTGCTGCACATCCTTGATGTGGGTTTCCTGTTCCACTAAATTCCAAAGTTGATCTCTTGGATTGAGATCTGTAAACTATGGAGGCCATTTGTGTTCGGTGAACTCGTTGCCATGTTCAAGTAACCAGTTTGAGATTATTTTAGACGATGATTAGCTCTCTGACGAGGCACATTATCCTGCTGGAGGCAGCCATTGAAAAAAGGGCGCACCGTGGTCATGAAGGGACAGACGTGGTCAACATCAATATTCAGGTAGGCTGCGCCGTTTTAGATATGCTCACTTGGTGCTAAACAGTCCAAAGTGTGCCAACTGCCTGAACTGTTGATACAAAGTAGGGGGTCTATTTATGCTTTCATGTTTTTCATCCAAATATTGCATCAGAAATGGAGACTAATATATTATAAAAATATTCAATTTTCCAATTTTGGTGAGCTAATGCTATTTGTAGCCTTGGTTTCTCTGTTCTTAGCTGACAGGAGCAGTCCCTGGTCTATTCTTCAGCTGCTGTTGCAAATCTGCTCCAAGATCTGACGTGTTGTGGTTTTAACAAGTGGTTGTCCCAGCATTTCAACAGTGTGTGAAATCACCTTTCTTCCCATTCTGATGCTTTTTTTTTTTTTTACTTTAGCAGGTTGTCTTGACAATTTCTGCTGCCATGTGATTGGCTGAGTAGCTGTTCATATTAAAAAGCAGCTGAACATTAGGCTTAAGAAGAAGAGATGTTCTTTTCTTCCACATGAATGCTAAACCCCATTTTCTTCAGCTTTACTCTTACTGTAGTCATTGCAGTCTTTGTAATTGCTGAGAGAGCAGTAACAGAAGGATCCGTAAGTATTTCAGATTCTGAGATAACCCTTGCCAATTTTGGCAAGTCTTTAAAAGATTACATTGGCCTAAAAACAATTGTCATCATTAAAACAAAGTGTTTCAGTCCACTTCTAGAAAGGTTCTGGTGTCTCTTACAAAAAACAAAACACCTTCTTTATTTCCATCTAGGAACTTTGCTCTTTATTAAAGTAATCTAGTCAATCCTCTGTATTACTCAGGTACCATGAGGAGGCAGATCTTTCCACGGTGTCTTTTATCATTTGAATACTGAAGATGAGATGATTGCACTGAGGTGGTTGGCTTAGTTGCCTCTGGGTCCCTGACTGCACAGACAGGAAATGGAGAGAAAGGCTTTTATTGGCCTAAGCCCCTTAATCCCAGGTACGTGCCCTCCCACTCAAACTCTGAGGAGGCCTTGACTTTGTGTGTTTACTTGTGTGCGTCTGCTTACAAACCTAATTAACAGAAGGTGACAATAGACCTACTGAAACACAGCCCGTATTTAGAGTCTGATTACCCCATTGATTTGATTCAGCAAACATTATTATGGAAATAATCCCACATAAGTGAATGTCATATTCCATTATGATGTCATTTTTGCCCCTCAGTGTACCTGGCTCAGGTCTGACTAGCGGTCACTATAAACTCCACGAATGCTCGATCTAACGAGGATATTTGACATTCCTCGAGGTTACAACACATCCCCTGAGCTCTGTGTGGAGTCCTGATGCAAGAGAGGAGCAGACAGGTAGCATATTCTCTCCCAGCAGCATAGTCTGCATGTAACCCTTTGACTAGGACATTGCTGGAGGCTGGTGGACATATCTAGGGAATCTCAGGGTGACCTGTCCTCATCAGACAGAGGGACCAGAAAAATAAATAATATAGTGTGCATAGTGCATAATAAAAAGGTTTGATCTTTCTGTTTCTTGTTTCAATACAAATGAGCATCCTGCATATGAACATCTCTTTTCATGTCGGTTTCTAAACTTTATTTTTCTGCTGCTACTCCTGCCGCTGTTTTTCACATTCCTGTTACTTTACTCTTACTCATTCTGACACGGTTTGAGATGATTTAATGCATAAAGAAATGGAGCAGCAACATTCGCCAAGGGTGGTGTCATCACCACCCTTGGCGAATGTTGTTGGCAAGTGCATGAAAATAGTTTTGTTTGATGCACTGATTCACAGAGATACCTGGAGAAGCTGTGTGCATACAGTAAAAATGAGGATGTGATTAAATACAGTAACTTGCAGACTGGGTGTAGCTTTGTGCACTGTTCTGAATGTGAAATGCAGGATAACAAAGAAGGGCTCCACTGTCTCTCTGGTAAACATGTCCGTTTTTTAGTTCTTTCATTATTTACATTCGCCTTTGTCCATCTCTCTCAACCCGACACTCCGTCCTTTATATCTCTGTTCTTGCTCTCTAATCTGGTTACCTTGCCAAGGTGATCAGTGTGCGGTACACAAGCAACACTCCTCTCCTGAATCCACACAATGTACTTGAACTTACACAGAACTGGGAATGATACAAACACATTTGTATCAAGAAAGAACAACAGCACCAAACTGATACTATATATTTTAGTTTAAGTTAGTTGATCTTACTCTTACTCCACATCTGTCCAAATATTTTCCAGGAATAGTTTCTTGAATTATGTATAAAATTAATTTGTAGTTTCTAAAATGTAATTAGTAAACACTGTTGGTAGTAAATATTAACTACGAAATATTTTTTGCTGATAGACTGTACTGTTTAAGTTCTAGGTACTATACGAATACTGAATTAAACTAGATAAAAGTAGAACCTTCTTCACTCCATTTGTGGGGCAGGTTATTGCATCCATCTTGGAGAACTTTCAAAAGCTGTTCAGTGGAAATATGCTGTCTCATTTGCATCTGTCTTTTAATGTAGTCCTAGGCAGACTCGGTGATGTTGACGTGATAATAGGACATTATGTTGATGCTGAGGACTCTGCAAAGCCATGTTATCTGTTGCAGAAGTTCCTCTTCTTATTGAAGATTGCTCTTTATGATTCTGTCTGTATGTCTGGGCTTGCTGCAATGCTAACAATCTTAACTTCTAAAATGCCCCTAAAACCTCTGCACCATATTAGATTTCATGTCCCTTTTATTCCCTATGCATAAAGAGGTAAGGTTGCAAAGTGTACTGAGTACTTTTATGTGCATAAAAGATATGCACAAATACACACAATTCTGAGTTAACACCGAGTCTCTTTACTGAACTGACCGTTAATCTTTTAGAGGCATCCACTTCAATCATGCCACGGAGAAGGTTCTGACAATCTGGAGGGATGAAGTGTGGCATGTGAAACACACCCAGCTTCACCTTCTCCAAAAGATTCCTTAAGTTGTCATCATCAAACGGTAGGGCGCCCTGAAGAAACATAAAGGCAGAGAAAAGAGAAAAGAAAAGAGACTGAAATAATAGTTGGCAGACGTGACAAGTAGGAGCAGGGAACTAAGTAGAGAAGAAAGAATTTGCGCTTAATACAACAGCAGCATTATGACAGAGAAAATGATTTTAACTGACTGAAGTCACAAAAGAAAAAAAAGATTATTAATGACTAACAAGACTCGCTAGAAGAAACAAAAACACATTTCGAATCTTAATCCTGCACGACTTAAAAATTCAGCTTGCTTTCGCAACTCATTCAACTCTCCAGTTGGAGCATTTTGCCCTAAACAGCAACGCTAAATAAATAATAAACAGCAGTGAGCTGAAAACAGGGCTTCGCTAATAATTACCCAGATTTCTCATTTACCTCATTCATTTAGAATTCTTTCATAAGAGTCATTTATCAGAGGGTGCTGACACCTCACAGATGTAGCAATTTGATGAATGGCAACCTCAATCACAAGAGAAGATGGAGGGGTGGAGAAAGATGGAAAGGGTGAGGAAAGTACAGAAAGAGCTGCTGAGAAATAAAGAGGCAGGAAAAAGGAAGGTAGACTTGTGTAACAGATGATCTGAGTGCAGCCTAACTCCTGCGGAGTATGCGTGTCTCCCACAATCAGACAAATGGTTATCTCGCGGCTAGTCAGCAGGACGAAACTGAAGAGAGACAGCATTTTTCTGCAGTCAAGCAGCAGAGGCGGAAAAAAAAAACTTTTGTTTGGAGCGAGAAAAGCGTGGTCATGATGGAGATAATGGTAAGCAACATCAGTTTTATGCAACACAACAGTACTAAGTATACTATCCTTAAAACAAGTGCACACACACATAAGACAGACAGAGTGGAGGGAGAGAGCGGCAAAAACAAAGACAAATACACAGGGCCTGTGGCCAAAAGCTGCCCTGTCAGCATTGGTATTTATTTTAGGCTCTTGTCTTTCAGTTTGGCTGCATGAATTATTCATGCAGCTGGAGTGTGTAGGAACTACAGTACAGCTGTTGATGAAACAAAGCTTCGGGGCTGCATGGCTGGGGAACCACAGACATAATGCAGCTAGAGAATAGACCTGATTATGGATACAGCGTCGTCTGTGGGTACAGGATAATGAATAAAAAGATGCTTCTTTTCTCTGATCTTCTGTAGCACAACTATATCAGCTAGAGGGTGTTTCTGCAACATTTAGGGTTTTTTTCATTTAAATGACAGAATTTGAATTTAACTCCTTAACACCTGAGTTTATGTCAGAGGCTCCGTGGTGAGTTTAGGCTAGCACTCTCTTTTTATTTCTCAAGCTTCACTTGCGTTCTTTATTTATTCACTACGATGCAAAGGCTAGACTTACTCCTGGATATGACACAAAAGCAACACTTCATGGCAAAATTGTATTACGCAATATGCCTCTAGAGATGTTAAACTGGGTGTCAGTATAATATTAACATCATTTACTGAAGAACAAGCTGACACTCACCACCAACAGAGCAAAAAGAATGACCCCACAGCTCCAGACGTCTGCTTTCCTCCCGTCATACTTCTCTCCCTAAGGGCAAAACATTGTATTAGACAAGTTTAGACTGAACGTTAAGGCCAACTGAAACAAGACGGAGGATGACTAAAAATAAGTTAGCACAGGAGGAATGAATATTGTGATTCTGTGAGTAGTCACTTACCCTGATGACCTCTGGACATGCGTAGTGTGGAGATCTGTTGGAAAAGGAGCAAACAGATACAGAAGGTTCAAGTTATCTAAGGACTTTTTTCAGTTGTGCTGCAGAGTAAATAAAAGTTCACAACAGATAAAACAAACAAGCATAAGTCACTGTCTGAAAATATGAAGACAACAATTTATGCAGACAGTAAAACTCTCCAGCGAACGTAGATCAAGATGTGTTTTAGGAGTTTAGGGGTCCTGAGAGTGTTTGGATGTCCTCTGCCTTGCTCAGTCAAGGGCATCCTCTCACAGCAGACGGTGAACAGACCCACTAATCTTTACAGCCCCTGGATAGACTGACAGTAAAGCCAATGACTAGATTGACATATCAATATCATATGAAGATTTATGGAGCTACCTTGCAAAGACCCCTCCATAAGCCCAGGTCTATGGATGAGTGCAGCATATGGGTGATTTGTTACTCTATATATTAATTCTTCTCACTGTTTGACATTCCTATATTTTTAAGGTATTCTCTGGAAATCAATTAATCAGATAAAAAAACTTAATTTCTTTGCTCCTCAAAACAAATCACCTGTCTCCCTAGACCTCCTACCATTATGAAATGTGTCTCACTCTGTTTAATGGCATAGCATTTGGGTCGACTGAGGGACTACGTAGTTTGTAAACAGCCTTTAGATTGGCTGTTTTCTTGTGCACTCAAGAATACCAGCTCTGACAGCCCAGCTTATTCAGACTGTCAAAATACTGGCCAAAAACAAACACGGCTACCATGCCAACTCGGGATCTCCAAGTGCCTGTGCAAATAAGTACTTGATGACTTTTCTTCAAAGAAAAAAACCCATCAGCTCTGCACTCATTTTACTTCATGAAGGCCACAACACACAAGGCATGCAAAACCTATAGCTTTGTCCCATTTAGGTCATTCCTTGTCAGTTCATCAAATGCCACACGTTCCCCTACAGCTTTGGTTTCGACAGGACTTCAAATCTACTGTCAAAGACTGGGAATGCAAATATTTTATTTCTTCAAGCATCCACCATTCTATGCCACACTCTTTACAGCCTATATTCACAGAGCCATAGTAGCAGATAATGACACAGAAAAAAAATATGGAACTTCACGTGTAAAAACATACCTAACCTTCATCCATTGGGACACTTAAATCAAAAAAACCAAAACAACAGAAACGCGAAATTTTAGCATTTCTTCAGGCAAATTTGTGAGAGTGAGGTGGGAGTTTTTTGTTTGTTTTCTGTACGGTTTCTTTTGTGTTACATTTCATGACTTCAGATGGGTTCAGATGAACTGACCCACATATAAGAGGTGGAAGTAGCCAATAGGTCAAATAGCTGAAGCCAATGCATCGGTACTTTAAAGCGCAGTACCACTGGTGGTTGCTACAAAAAAGGATCCATGTAGTTCTTTTATAACGAAAAAAAAAGAGGTAAGTCAGTAAAACGCTTCATGTTATTAGGATTTTTTGATCAAAAATTTTTTAAATAAATGTATTACTCTTTTATCTAACGAAAATGTTTAATGTATTCATCCTCTAAAGGTGCGGCCACTTTTGGTATGCCTTAGGAACACCGGGTCTAGGATGAGCTTCATAGTGCTCACTTTGAAACACTCAGTCCACTCATTATTTTATGTTTAGAAAGCCCCTTCTGCTATTATGATAACATTCTGACTTTTTGAAAGGCTAACCGAGTTCAGCTGCAATGTTTCCCACTATCACAGCTCTATTTAGTAAGTAATTTGCTGCCAGCGACTCGCAGCACAAGCTTAACTACACCAGGTATACAGTGTTTCATTAAGTTAACAACCATTCAATGACACGATAAAATCCATCCGAGTACGCTTCAGTGAACAAGCCAGTTAACGGGGTCAATGCTGCAAAGTTCCTTTCACATTTGATTGCGGATCAAGTATGGGTGATATTGTAGAAACATCCATGCTGCTCACACCAGGTTCAGGTTATATGGTGGGACACTAAAGATAAATAGAAAACCGTGAGAGCCACTTCCCACTGACCAGAAAAATATAGTCTTTAGAAAAACAGTTCAACGTGGGTTTGGCATTACATCAGTCTTTTCTCTGTCTTTCTCAAACTAACACCACTAGCATCACATAAATAAAATCAACAGGCAGGAAAGGACTGTCTTCTATTTTCAGAGGGCAACAAATAACACAAAATTGATGCATAAAAAGTTGGCTTTATCTCATGTATAGAGTTCATGAGTCGTAACTGTCTAGAGAGGGATTTCTGGACCTCTACAATACACAGTATACTGGACACATATGTATGAAGGGATGTATCGTGATCTTAAGAGATGTGAATTACGACAGAAGCATTGAAAGAAGCGCTGAGACACTGAGACATAAAGCTGATCTTCATGAAAATTCATCTTTTTGGACTAAATCCGTGCACTTCCTCATTGCATATAAGATAATTTCCTTTCATCAATCTGTGCCATGGAATTATAGTAAATAAACAGTAAGCAGTGATGAACTCCCAGCTGGGTTTGTACAGACAGAGGAAGAGGTTGTATTTGCATCCCAGAATCCATATTTGAATATGCTTGCCAATGCATCTGCTATACATCTGTATGTCTGCACGTATTTATGTATGTGCTCTGAGGCTCCCACTACTCTACCTGGGGCAAGTTTCATCTTCACTCAGCTCCATTACCCACAGCAAATGGAATACATTTGTGTCAGACTGCTGCATGATGAGAAGGGGCCAGATAAATGTGTTTAATTAAAAAGTGTCATATCTACACTTAGAGACGGGACATTCAGAGGGGCATGAATAATCAATAACAACACACGTACACACATATTAGGAAACAGCACGAAGACACGAAAACATTAATGGCGCCAACATTCTGCTATGAGACGTACATGCAAACAGACAAGATCTAATCAAGACTGTAAGGCTCGTGTTTTTGGTGCCGTAGGGTTGTTCAGATAGACACCTGATCTCTCTGTAAATGTGATTGCCAATCAAGATGCTATTTGCTTGTTTTCTCATTACTGTATCAAATTATTATCATTAGTAATAATGTAAAACTAATTTAATTTGCAAGCCATCATTTGCAACTCCAACACACATGGGAAGCCATATGCATACACAATACAAAAGCATGTCAATACATATCCACACACAAACATGGACACATGTGCAAACTTTGAAATTAATATGAAGATGGGAAGTGGCTAAATTTATTGATTGGAAAGAAAACAGTATTTCTCTCAATTGTCTTCTCATTTCCTGAAGGTGGTAGGTTCTGTGTTTGTGCCGTGTTTGTGTCAGGGAAACAATTTAATGTAAGGGGCTGCTTTTATCTTCACTCTTCTCTCCTATATATTCCCTCCTCACAGATGTGGAGTCAGAGTGGAGGAGAGACAGATGCAGGGCACGCAATGTCAAATGACTTGATGACGACTTATGTTATTAGGAGCGCAATCAAGTGTTAATCTGTAAAAACAAAAAAATCGTGAACAGATGTGGGCCCCAACCAAACTGCGTGCATGCATTTGTTTCATGGACAGCTCTGTGTTCATGCTTTCAACAGGGTACTTTTAGTACTTTATAAATTTAAGAGGGCAAAGAATATTCATTCCACCTCTATCAAATTAAGGCTTCCTCCGAGTGAGTGGCAGCAGAATGCAATCAAATATAGATCAAGTTGGTCAAAAGATACTGCTGAGTAAGAGCTGCTGCATATAGGCTTTCTAGGAAAATAGAAAACTTTAATGTGGTCATCAAAGCTGAACAATGACTAAACGGTGGACACATCTGACTTGCAGATTGCTATGCGCACTGCTTTGAGTTGGCCTGATCTCTACCGATGAGTCATGAGAGCTTAGGCATTGTGCGACTGCTGAAAAAAAATTATGCAACAGTTTCAACTGGATGCATGTGTTTGCATGCACATGCACAATGAACGCGCGTGTGTGTGTGTGTTATATAAAGGGAGGGAGTCAGAGACAGAGAGGCACCCAAACAAGCAGAGGACATAGGGACTTAGAGGTGAGGGATGAACTAAGCCTGTTCTGTGTGCGCATGTGTGTTGCTGTATTGCGTGTGTAAAGTGTGTGTAACTTCAGTTTCAGCTGATTTGGAGGCTTAATCTGGACAGAATCAATCTGAGCTGGGGACAGCTGTCACAGAGCATATATCCAGCCGTGCATAGAGTGTCATGTGCAAATGCAGAGGAAATATTTTCCCAAGACATCCACTTTACAAACAAGATAACAACTTAGACCACTCAGTTTGAGCAAATTTGTGGAACCATTTCTAGAGTGTTATGGATGTCTGTCACAAGTGTGTGCAAGACTTTGAGCCAGCTCTGACATCAAAACATGGACTCATCATTACTTCCCTATCGAGTGCCTGCTTGTGTTCTATATATGTTTTAATAGGTGAACTATACCTACTTATCAAAACTCTGTTATTTTACTCCATCACTAGACAATAAGATTTCATTATCTTGGGAAAATAATTGGAGATTATGTATAGGATTTTCAGGAGCAGGACCACGCCTCCAAACACGCTACTTCCGGCTGTCATCTATATAGGTTCCCCTAGTTCTGCAAGCTGATCATTCTCGTTTACGTGCTCCACCCTCCCTCTGTCCTTCTTCTCCATTCTTCAACTTTTTCACTTCTGTTTAGTACATGGGGATCTGCCAGGCCCGGGAGCCATCGCCAGTCCCCTTCGAGGCCTTCGCCAAACCGCAGCTCAATTCACGTCAAAGCATTCACTTTTACCTACTAAAACGCTGTCAAACTTAAATGAGGACGTGGGCCCAGCTAGTGATAAAGAGAATAAAATAACAATGCACTTCTATCATATTGGGTTGTGCTTACATATTCAAATCTTTTTGAAGTGAATTTAATGGAAGAGTGAAATGCTATAGTGCAGCAGTGAGGTGTTTCTGTTAATCCATGGTGTCACTGAGTTTATGACCCCAGTGCTTAAAAGTCATCATAAAGTGTGTTGCCTTTTATTGATAAATATGACCCTGCACAATGACCGCCACACCTTAGGGTTGAAGAAAATCACTCCCACAATAAAAGAGACCTCGGTCCTTTTTCGAGTGTAGTCCCACTTTAAAAGTGACTCTTCCTGCAAGCAAATTCATTAATGTCATGGGATTGATGTGCCTGGTGCGGTTGTGACTGTTAGATCATAAACCCAGTGTGAAATATTAGAAGACGGGAGCAGTAATGTGTGGCCGTGGCCCTGGCCACGCTCATCGCCAGATACCACAGTCGGTGATAGACACTGAAAGTGTCTCCTGAAGAGATCAGCACAGCACGATTATGGGCACTTTGACAACGCTGCACCTAGCTGAGAGCCTGATGGCTCTACTCACTCCACTTAGTCTCTCTGAATTCTCCCCGTTTTCCTCTTCCATAGCAGCATTTCCACCTCCACTATGACCTTTTAATTACTCCCTCGGGACATCTGATATCTAATATCATTCAGTACATACAGACATTACATTTGTGATTCTACTTACCCACAGCTGGTTTCCAACAAACTATCGCCAACCTGAAGGGAAGCCATGCCAAAGTCTGCTATCCTGATGTTGTTCTTTTCATCTAGCAAGAGGTTCTCTGGCTTTAGATCCCTGTGACTGAAAGAAAATGAGATAGAAACATGCAGCAGTTAATGAAACGTGAAAAAGCTCATCATATTTAATAAAAGCAAGTGATACTGAGGAGAAACAAAAGGGGTCCTGAACGGTATATCAAACACCTGTACACCACACTTGGATCCATGCATGAACAAGACATAACAGTAACCAGCTATTGCTGCTACCATCGTGCTCTTGGCAACACCTCTCTCCTTTGATCTGTCCAAGCTAAAACTAAGGGCTCCCACCTTGTAACTGCACTGGTAAAAGGTGTGAGAGCCCCCTGCTGTGTCCTTTTCTCCTTCGGTTTCCTTCTCTCTTTGTCCCTCAGCTCCTTCCTCTCATCTCCCAGACAGCCACCAGCAAACTGGCTGAGCAAAGGGCATCAAGGGGAGGCAACCGCAGAGGTGGTGTTCATTAGATGCCATTCAGTACCACTAAACACAGCAAGGGGGATAATATCCAGCAGACATAATCTCCCTACTTAAAAGGAGCCGTTGAGAGAAATAACTTTCTGATGCTGACTCTGAGGTTAAGACCTCAATTTTGATGAGTGGCTCTTCAAAGAGGAGTGGCGTTAGCATTTTATTGGATGTTTAACATCTCTTCCCGGGTTGAGGGTTCTATTACATCATACTGTACAGTTCTTGTGATGTCTGCCAATGCTGAAGAGGGTAGCACAGACATGTATATGTATGTGTATACGCTGACACTTACTTGGCTATCTTTTCTACAATCTTTATGTACTTCCTTAGTTTCCATTTTGTTTTAATAGGAGGTCTTGGGTATTGGAGAGCCCCAGAGTTATCTCGACTTTCATCTTCCTGCTACTCCAATGATAGAAAGGGGAGATAGAACAATAGCTGGATGTGACTGCCTTTGAAGAGTGCCTCATCACAATGGACATTTAACCTTAGATGACATCAGTTGCTGTAAAACTCGTTTCCTGTCCTGAGGGATTAACTGTCAGCTGGCTTGTTATCATCATCCTGGCAGTCTCTGTGATCTCAGCTATAATTGAAATAAAACATAGATAGCATCTAAAACAGTTCTCCCCAGGCTAAATCTTTCATCAATTCACACAACCATCATTTGACTGTGATGCAAGTAGCCTGAGAGTTTTAACTAGCACTGTCATGGGGAAGGAACAAACATTTACGAAACTGCTCCAGGGGCACCAATATGAGAGTGTCTGAACAGTGCATCTGCAAGGTGCATGCATGTGTTATTATTTTTGAGTGGAACAAAAAAAAGGAAAAGCCTGAAAAATTTGTGCACCAAAGATTTCAGCTCTCAGATTATTAATTAATTAGCTTATACATTTTTTAAAAGTAAGGTATCAGATCTCAGACCTTAAGTAGCCTGTGGGTGCTAAGGCTGAGTTTACAAAAACTCATCGCATATTTCCCAAAAATCATCCATCAAGGGTTCCTTTACCCACCTACCAGCTCACAAAGCAAGAGAATGGTAGAGCGAAGAGCAAAAGGAATACCAGTTCTGAAACCTACCATCACACAATCATGAAAAACACTAAAGATGAAAAGTGAATGACTTGTAAGACAGCATGGTGATCCTAAATACACCCCAAAATCCACAGCCCCTAGAGGTGCAAGCTCAAGTTTCAGCTACAGCCCACACATTCCCTAAAATCACTGAAAATCTTTGGATACACATTAAAAAGACCAGTGCATGCAAAACAACCCAGGAACCTCAAAGAGCCACACCTACACACCTAACAAATAAAAACTGATAGCATGTGAAGCGGCTCCAAAAAAGTCTTTATAAGCTGTGATACTTTCCAAAAGGTGTAAGCACAGACTATGCAGGGTGCTTTAATTTTTGCTTCTGGTCCTCTCCCTGAACTGTCTTCATCAGATGCAACAACAAAAATTAAGTTTGTCTCTTAAAGAGCACTAAACACGGCATAAAGAAAGTGCGTTGTCACAGGCCCATCACACGTAAAACAAACAGTCAACACTCAAGAGGTTGTTCCACAAAAAAAGGCAACAGCACATTTAAGCAGTGAACGCACCAGAGGAACAAATTGCATCTAAATGCTTTATTGGTTGTCAAGACCCTGGTATCTATAATGGGACATTAAACTGCCTCTCTGTCACATTAGACTGCACTTTGCTACTGTAATGCTGCTCACACAGCACACCTCACAGTAGGGATATTGTGTATGTCAAGGTGGAGGCTGTTAAACAAATTCAACAATTGCAATGGCATTGAGTAGTTTTTCTTAAAAAGAATAGGAGTTGCATACCACTGGCTTGCTTGAGGAATCAAAGACAAAAAGAAAGAATACACTAGATGCCATGGATGCATATAGTTTTTGCAAAGTTCTATGAGAATTGTATAAATGCTGCTATGCTTGCTTTAAATGGATCATTTGAAAAGAACAGAATAGAAAAATGAAAATGCCAAAGGGGGGGTGCATAATTTAAAGTTTAGTACTGTCATCCATCATTTCCATGCAGTCTTGCCTTTGTCTTTAACACAAGCCTGTCAGTTCACTATGCACTATGCTCTGATGATGATTCCTTGTAATTTAAAGGTGATATGTGTTTGTCTACAAAATCTACGTGTTATCTGAGCGAGGATTTTACCCCAAGGGGCTGTTGGACATGATTCTTGTAACCAAACAGCGTACGCCTAATTGCCTGTGATCATTTGCACATATTTTGCTGATATGTTGTGTTTTACAAGAGGTTGTAATGGCTTTGTCCTCTTGGGGCTCACATCACTATAATTTCTCAGACACGTTTATGGTGATGAGCAGTTTTATGACTAGTTTGGAGCTCAATGAAAATATACTTTTCTCATGCTGACACATTTGACATATACCATGTTTTAATGTCGCTTTTCATTAGGCCAGCTCACACCAAGAAATGTGGCTCTAATTGGAGCCACGAGAACACTTACAACTAACACTAATGGATCAAATGCATCTTTTTGACCTATTACCATGCCAGGAAAATGACTCACCTGTTTTTGAATTTTCATGAGGTACTACAGTTATCCTGGTGCAATACAGTGCACAGAGTGGGGTTTAAAACCACTGTTGAGAATCAAAATGCACCCATTCAGCCTTCGGCGCACCCTGGTGTCGTTCTCCTCTTTCTACCTTTCTGTTTTCCTCTCAAACTTTTTTAGGTTTCTGGTGACCCAATTAGAGAGAGAGACCAAGCACATTCACTTAGAGAAAGCTTTAGGCTAATATTGTATGGAATTAGAAAAAGAGGACAACTCTGACTGCTGACTTGAATGTGCTAAGCAAAATCCTTCATTAGCCAGTGGAGTTAATTATGTATTCAGAGCAATGAGGGACGAGAAAGATAAAAATGCATTTTTAAATTTTTTTCAGTAATGTAGTTGCATTGCGGCTTAAACAAGTGAAAAAATAGTTATGTTTGCATCAGCTACACACTGCTTAATAGCACAAGAAATCATTTAGAGCCTTCATCAAAGTCAAAGTATTTAAATATTTTCAAATTTATTTGATAAAGATAAAAAAAGGTGATGCTTCTGTCCAGACTGAGTGAATGACAGTAGACTGGGGGAATTAATTATTTGATCCCCTGCTGAATTTATGATATTGAGCACCTACAAATAAATGAACAGTCTCTAATCTTTATGTTACTTATATCGAGCCAGAACACTGAAGCTAGGTTGTGGATGGGTCTTTCAGCATGACAATGACCCAAAACATACCGCCGAGCAATGTTTCCTCTAAGCTGCGCGCGTGCGCAATTGCGCACTGCTGGCACGGTCTGTGCGCACATAAAATCTGCGTTGCGCATAAAAAAAATCTAACCTGAATTGAAATTAAAATTAAAACTTTAACAATTCTGTTTTGCAGTGTTAGTCAGTAAGTGACTGGCTGCTCCC